GAGTTTGTAGGCAGCCACCAAATCTCCCCTCAGCCTCCACTTGCTGAAGCTGAACAGATTCAGGTCCCTCGGCCTCTCCTCACACGGCCTGCCCTGTTGCCCTCCAACCAAGCGGGTGGCCTTCCTCTGAACCCTCTCAAGGGAGGCCACATCCTTCTTAAAGTGTGGTGCCCAGAACTGGACACAGTACTCCTACAGAGGCCAGACCAATGTCGCGTAGAGGGGAAGTATCACCTCTCTGGACCGGCTTGAAATGCATCTTTGGATGCATGCGAAGGTGCGGTTGGCTTTGCTGGCTGCGGTCTGGCATTGGTGGCTCATGTTCATCTTGGAGTCAATAATGACTCCAAGATCCCTCTCTGCCTCTGTGCTTTCAAGGGGGGAGCTCCCCAGCTTGTATTTATGCTGTGGATTCCTTCTCCCCAGGTGCAACACCCTGCATTTATCATCACTGAAGCCCATCCTATTACCATCTGCCCACTTCTGTAATTTAAGTCTAATTGCAGCCTCTCTCTCCCTTCAAGCATGCCTACCTCTCCCCAAATCTTGGTGTCATTGGCAAACTTGTACAATGTGTTTTCCACCCCCTCGTCCAAGTCGCTGATGAAGATGTTGAACAGTGTAGGCCCCAGCACCAAGCCCTGGGAGACCCCACTGCTCACATCCCACCAGGTCGAGTAAGACCCGTCCTCCACCACTCTCTTAGTGCACCCCATCAGCCAATTTTTGATCCATCCAACTGTGTAGGCATCAATGCCACAGTTGCTCAGTTTAATGAGAATGGAGTGAGAGACAGTATCAAAGGCCTTCTTAAAGTCCAGAAAGACTGCATCCATGGTGACACCATCATCCAGGGATTTAGTTACCTGGTCATAAAGGTCCATCAGGTTGCTCTGGCAGGACCTGCCTTTGATGAACCCATGTTGATTTCCCCTGGGCATGATCTCCCCTGCTGGCCCCTCATAGATGTGCTCCTTGATAATTTTTTCAAGGATTTTCCCCAAGACTTATGAGGCTTATGGGCCTATAGTTTCCTGGGTCCTCCTTTCTCTCTTTCTTATAGATGGGGACCACATTAGCTAGTTTCCAATCTCTGGGTACCTGGCCCGTGGACCACGATCACTCGTACAGCCGGGCCAATGGCACAGCAATGACCCCCACCAGCTCCCTCAACACCCATGGGTGGAGGGCATCAGGGCTCACAGATTTAAAAACATCCAGCCCTTCCAGAAGATCCCTAACTAGTTCTGCAAAGACCCAAGGCCTGGCAGTGCTATCCTCAAGATTTCCCCTACCTGTGGTGGAAGAGCTGTCCTGTTCCCTGTCCAAGAAAACAGAGGCAAAGAACTTGTTAAAGATTTCGGCTTTCTTGTCTGGTGTAGCCACAAGATTACCATTTGAGTCTAGCATGGGCCCTACATTACCCAGTCCCCACTTCTTACTCCTAATGTATTTGAAGAAGGACTTTTTGTCGTCCTTAATCCTGGTCGCTAGCCTGAGCTCCAACCCCAACCTTGGCCTTCCTGATGGCCCTCCTACACTGGTTGGATCTGTAAATGCGGTCTTCTTTGCTCAATTCTAAAAACATTTCTAACATATCAAGATGAAGGCCTACTTGTACACACAGTCTACCTGTGTTACAATTCCATCTTTCCTTTGTTCAGCATTGAATCTGACACAATTAAAACGTTGGGAGGTTTATCATAAACTTTAATGGGAGTAAGAGTGAAACTGCAACCACTACTGTTATCATGAAGGTCATAATAAGAAATTAGGAAGAAATGCCATGAACAAGCTGATAAACTGTGATTCTGAAAGACTAATTTAAAATGAATTATGAGCTACTGAATTGCTATCCTTGTAGAATATTTTCTTTATTGCTTACATTTATTGCTTATGGAAAAATATTGCATGAAAATTCTAATCTTTTGCAGATCTACATTTGTTAGCAGAGATGCTCAAAAGCCACTGCTGTAAAAGACCCATAGACAACCAATTTACCAAAACCCATGTATCTTGTAGATCTTGATTATCCAAATGTTACTGGGACTCATAATTCTAAAACTATTGGAGTCAGGGATTTGAAAATTATTCAAATTCCATTTAGTTTAAGATTGCATATATAAAAATAACTATCCTACTTCCTCTCCTTTCTTATTACTCAAAAACACCTGGCTAAAACATTTGCTAATAATATCCTATCAGAAGCAACCACCAGCTTGTTAAATAACACTTTTCTATTTTATATGGCAAGGGTTTGATAAAGAGCTATCAGATTGTTTTAGAGTTGCTCACTACTTACATTGATGTCTTCCAAATCTAAGTTATTTAGAATGACATTGTTCCTCTTCCAGATGATGGGAGGTCTCAAGGTTCCTTGAATGGCACAACTAAGGACAGCACTTTGTCCTACTGTTGCTGCGGTGATACTTATTTTCTGATCTTCTGGCAGACTCAACTGAACCACCTCTGTAAGATATATTGTTTGTAAGGTTAATTAGCATGCAGTTTTAGAAGGTTAATTAACATGCAGTTTCTGTACGCTAGTAATTTAAGGTTTTTAATTTGAATCAAAGGGAAGAGAACTTCCAAACGACCATAGGAAGTTTAAACTGTTTCAAATAAAAGGTCAGCATGACATTTCAATTAAATTGATTGACAAGTATCACCTTGTAAGAAGAGAAGCATTTAACATGAAATAAATTCCTGAAGCAAGGTTTAATAGATGACAGACTGGATTCAAAGGTGGACACATGAAGTTGTTTAATTGCCTGATCAACATGGTGCTTCAATCTGCTCTTAAACCAAAATGGATCTTTTTATTCACTAACTATACTATAAAGGCAAAGGCAAGTTTGCTTTCCTTCTGAGACAAAACATAAACAGAGCCAAAGTAATAAATTATGCTAGTATGGTCAGAAACATAGTGGTAGGCACGAGAACGGAAAAGATATGTGGGGAGCCAAGGTTAAAGGTCCAAAGCTAGAGATTGCTCAAATAACATGGGATGCAAAATTCGATTGCTGAGACCTGACTGTAAATATTAAAGAAAAAGCTGAAGTGCCATTTTGACAGGACTGCAACAAACCTTTTTTTACATTTTTTTTTTTTTTTAACTTTTAAACCATTTGCAAGTATTTGCTCAAATGCAGGGATTGGCAACCTATGGACTGAAAGGTCAAATCCAATCTAAGGCAGCATCTGCCTGCAACAACCACCCATTCCCTCCACAGCCCTCCTGTTCTCTCATGCTTGCACTTACTAAATGACTTACACGTGACTTACTAAAGTCATGTTTGCCACAGAATTTGCCACTCCACAGTGCTTTTGGGTGGCCTGGGATCAGTGGTGAGAGTAAGTGCAGGTGGCTTTGGCCCTCCAGGAGCCAGACATCTGTTGCTTGGAGCATGGGCTGAGTCAAAAGGGGCAGGAAAATGTTGCCCAACTCCTGCTCTAGGGGAATCATATAAAGAAGCTGAAGGTCATATGGCTAAAATCCCAGCAGGGGCCAACGTAAAACAATAACAGAATGAATACCTTGTCAGAACCAGTATTATAGAAATCAAATAACCCAAAAGAAGACTATTTCTGTTTAATTTAACATTTTTCAGGGAAGATGAGTACATGAACATTACATTCTGAAAACAGAGATGGAAATTTCTAGAAAGGCTGATAAATGTCTTTGAAATAGAAATAATGTCTTACTTAATAAGAGATATCAATTGACCAGGGATAGAACACTTGTCATGTACATCTGGTCCCATCATCTTCTCATCTGAATATTTACTTGCACATCTGATATGTGTCTGCATTCAGATGATGACAAAGGAACACATGGAGATTTCTCAAGTGACAAATCTGCTCATTGCAACTATGCTTTCTTTCCTTTTTAACATCAATGGAAACATGATTTATTGATCAGGATGACACTGTACATAAAGATGGAAATGTCCTCCTTCTAACTCTCAGGGTGAGATTATACATTACCATTAGCATGTACTAACTCTAAGGAATATTCGACTGTGTTAAAGATAGCAAGTGCTGCAAGCAGTCACACAGTTAAGAGTTAATATCCTCTCAGTGGGCACTGCTCAGATCTGCCACTAGAGGGCTGGCAAGCCAGGGCATGGCTAAGATAAGTCTGCCCTGCTTGCTGGTTCTCTACCACATTATAGGCTGGGGGGTGGGAAAAGGAACCCACCGACGCCACTTTAAAAAACCCCCCCATTGCCCTCTCCACCCCCTGAATTACCACATATTGACCTCCAGATCGTTCCCACACCCTCAGTCAATCTCTCCACTCCTGCCACCCTGCTCCTCCACACCCATTGCCTGCTGACCCAAACAATCATCTCAAGAGCAGCAGCAATGGACAGCAGCAGGGGGAAACAGTTCCCCCTTCCTGCCTTTTCCCAGGCTTCTGGAAGTCTGTGCCAGCTCCACATGCCTGGATCCAGCCCCTCCTGGGCTCCACAGCTGCCCTGCAGCTCCCTATGATAGATGGCAAGAGGGAAGCAGGGATTTGTTGGATTGCTGCAGGGCTGGCACTCTTCTGGACCTGTGAGGACCTGCTAGGCACACTCATGGCTGCCCAGTGGCTGCCTGCACTCCCTCCCCCGTGGGGAGCTGCTGGGCAGCTTTGGGGCCTGGCAGGAGCACTGTGGGCTTGAACTGGGGCACAGGGAGCTGCCAGGCCCACCTGCCCCCATCTTGCAGCAGCCCAGAAGCTCTCCCACTCCTGCCTCTTCCTCTATGCCTGCCTCCTTTACCCATGCCCCTCTTCCACTGTCTCCCTTTACCACCTTCACCTCTTTCCCTTTCCTTCCTGCTCACCTGCTTCTTGGAAGTCCCCAGCTGTCAGTCTAGTGCTGCAGTGTCCTGGATGATATCTAGTCCATCTAGGAGTGGTGCCTCCTGGGGTACTAGAGGACCACAAATTGGTGGTTTTATTTCACTTGAACTGCCAGAAGTAACTTAACTCTAGCTGGATAGTACAGCTAAAAGATAATTGTCACCCAAAGTGGCATAACTTTATGACATCTAGAGGGCACTTATCACTTTTTAATGAGTTTCAATATGCAATTATTTGCATGTTAAACACACTTAACATTGTAGTAACATGCAATCTCAACCTCAGAGGAATGTGTATAACTAGGGACCTACCAAATTTGCAGTGGAAGTGGGGTGCATGGCAGCTCTTTTAATCTTGCAGGTTCCCCTGCATGCCACCCTCCCTACTGATTAGCAGAGGGGACCTGCTGCTCACAGCTGGCCACTCCCCAGTCACTCATGATTGATGGGGAGGCAAAAACTGCAGTTTTAAATATAGCACCATTTTTACCTCCCCAGTGATCAGTGGCAAGCACCAGGGCTGCTGGAGTCCCTTCACCAATCAGTGGAGGGAGGCAAAAATGGTGCAATATTTAAAATGGAGGATTTCACCTCCTTGCCAATCAGGAGTGAGCAGAGAGTGAGTAGCAGCGAGCAGTGGGACCTCCCTGCCAATAAGGGACCGGGGGGGAGAGGGGCATGTGCAGGGGAACATGCAAGATTAAAGGAGCCAATGCACACCCCACTTCTGCCATAAATTTGGTAGGTCTGTATGTATAACTTACAATCCATCAGGAAAATATGATTGCAAATTATGCACTGCAAGGGCACTGCTAATTAATTTTTACCAGATTTCTTCTGTGAGTAAAACATTTCCTTTTCCATATAATGATGTTTGAACACAATAAGAAACAGTGCATGCACAAAACTCTTCCAAATGCAAAAGAAATTAAAATGCATTATAGAGAACATATACAAATCACTGTGCCCACCAAGAAAGAGCTGAAACATCTATGACATAATTTAGGAAAGCACTGAAACATTATTCCATTGAAACATTCTATAGTTTAAATGAAATATATGCTTTAATTATATTTCAAAAAGTGGGAGAAACAGGGTGCATCTATACAAGACATTTACTGTGCAGTTGACTAATTAGCTACACAGTAAATGTCACACATCTACACATGCATCCCTATAAGGCCAGAGTAGATTAAGTAACTCTGCAACAGGAGTTATAAATACTTGCAATAAGCTCCAGAGTTTATTCATGCATAGTAATAGCATGTGTAGACATGCCCACTGAGTTGGGTTATAATTTACATAGGTTAGGTCATGCTATGTCCTGATGACTTTTTTGCAAAAGTATGTCACATTAATGGCAAAAAATAACTTAGGATCCAACAGAACTGGAGAGCCTCAATAATTTAGATATGAAAGACCAGAATAACAGAGTAGAGTTTTTGAAAAGGAAAAACAGCCTCAGAGATTTCTAAGAAATAGAGAATTACTGATATTTGAAAATCAAATAGGTTTGCAAATTGGAAAAAAAATGAAGACATATCTTTCATATGGTGAGTGAGATAGTATATCGTTATTGTTAGCTAGTTAAAAAAATATTATCTACAGAATCAGTTTGGAACATATAATACGTACATGCATACACACTTTTTTTTTTTTTTTTTTTTTTTTTTTAACAGAGAGAGGGGTATGAAAAATATGGTAGTTTGAACAGAGGAATTGGAAACAGGAATACTGAACTCCAATTCTGACACTATCTATTATTATTGACAGGTCACTTTTTCCTTTTGTGTTACTTAGCTGTCTTACTTATTTAGCTGTCTGTAAAATACGAAAAGCAATTACTTAGCTCTTTTCCAGGCACATCATTAGGACTCATTTATATATTTGTAAAATACACTGATGTGGAAAAATATTATTTCAGTGATAAATATTTGGAAATATTTTACAATATGGACAGAGGATAACTCGCAGGTGATTTAAATGGGCTACCTGTGGTCCCTAAACAAACATCTTATTAAGAATGAAAATTAAAATAACAACATATTGCTGCAGTAAGAGAACGTTATATTATTAGGTCCCTGGTCATATATTTATTACATACACAATCCTAAAGCACAGAATCTTCTCTCTACCAGTCTATCAAGTCTCCTAAAAATCCACTTTTTTCATGATGCTCATAATATGCAAGTACTTACAAAAAAAAAAAAAAAAGAAAAAAAAGAGGCAAAATCCCTACTGGATTTTCAAGTGTTTTCTGTTTCTATGGGCCTGTTTTTCAGATGTGCTCACTACTGAAAACTACAGTTGAGTTAATGACAGCAGCAGATGTTTAACATCTCTCTCTGGCATATCAGGAATAAGATAGATGCTAAACAAACACCATGATATATCTTAGTAACACCACAAAGAGTCTACCTTGTAACAGAGCAGTGTAAGGCAAAAGTTTCAACAAAAACATGACATTTAAAATCACTTTCCTTTCTAGTTTTCCCATACATAACATACTAAATATGGAGAACACATAAAAGAAGTGAAAGTATAGTAGTATTTTTATATTTGAGTTTTTAAACATGACTGCTGAAATCACTCCAGAACAAATTTGATCACTGGCACTA